GACCCTAACTTAAGTTCTTTAGCACTAAGCTAAGGAAAGATACCCAGTACTAAATTCTGGGACCGGCAAGCAAGCAAGCAAGCACCAAAGCAATACTAAGCAGTTTTCTCCACTCACTTTCCTCCCCCCTCCCTTTCCACTTCCACCTGTGAAACGGTCATCCTACTTGAATTAGTTGGTGCTGTTCTGGTCTGGTTCTTCCTTTCTTTTCCAGCCTAACGCCACCTGCAGGGCAATTTTGTGGTGATTCCTCTCTCCCCTCTCTCCGTGGATGGTCCGTCCCTTGACTTTTTTGAGTTTATTCTATATTATCTCTATTATTGCTACTTAGTGTAGTCGTAACTATTCCCAGTGCTCTGCGGGTTCCTGATCAACCACCACCATTACCACATCATCATTGATTTACTTCACTACCTTCCCTCTCATTCCGGGAGTTTCCTCCCTCTCCTGCACCCCTCATTCCCCCATCGTCTGACCTCCCGATTGTCCATTTTCCCACGTTTGGGTGGCGTCTCTTGTGCTAGCTTGGCCTTTTGACCGTCTCATTCCGCCCCGTCCCCTGGACAATTTACACTTGTCGGACTAAGACAGACAGGCTACACCGTTCCGGGTCAGTTCCAGTAGCTGATCAAACCAACCCACGGTCGAAAAAAAAGAAGGTTAGCAAAGGTCAAAAGGCCAAAAAAAGCAGAGTCATCAACTCCGCGCATCTTGCTTGCATCTCTTCTTTCAATTTCAATCTCCCTTTCACATCCTGTCCCCGTTCTCGACCTCTTTCCCGAATTCTGTTCTGTCCTTGTTCTGACCACGCCCCCTTCCGTCGCGCCCAGGTTCCCTCATTCGTTCTGAATTTCTGTCTGGATGGATACCTTGCGGCCATGAACACAGCAGAGAATCACACCGAATTAACAGCCACCAGAACCAGCCCTGCCCCGAGCACTGCGGGCTCGACGGGAACTTCTGGGATTACGGTGCGTAACGCACCTGGCGGACACATGAGTTTTCGAAGGTGAGTTGACATGGCGATCTCTTTTCCTTTTCTTTTGATCTGTTGCGGGTTATGCGCTCGCGGGGTTGTAAGACCTTCTTCAGGAGCTCAGGCGCAAAAGCAACCTCCCCCCCTGGAATCGGAGATTATTTAAACGACTGGGGGAAATGCAGAGGCTCGGATCTAGATTGGGAACTTATAGAAGCTAATCTTCTTTATCTAATCGCTTTGCGAAACAGACAACGTGCGTCGCGTGCTTGTGAGGTACGTCTTTTTGTTCCTGCGAGGTCGCGTTGTGCTGGAGTGCCTCGGCACCTCGGCTCATCCCAACTCAACTCTTGCTTCGCTCGTTTTGCTCGCTCGCCCGCCCGCCCGCGATAACGCATGCGATCGATGCTGGTCGTACGATCGCAACGCAACCATCACCCTGTATCAGAAGACAATCGTTCGTGCTGACTGACTGACTGACTTTATATGCGTTGTGAAGACATGTCATGCTCGCAAAGTAAGTACTCCCCTACTCCGAAGGCGAAGATGTTTCGATAGTCTCCTCCGCCGGTCGCACGCCCCTCCCTGCGCCCGTGGGGTTCACTAACAGCACACCCTAATTCTCAGGTTCGTTGCGACGCCGCCAGCCTCGGTGTGCCATGCACCAACTGTGTGGCATTCTCGATCGAATGCAAGATCCCAACGCCGAAACGCAAGAAGAATCAATCCAAGTCGAAGGAGTCCGAAGGGTACGTTTTGGTCTGATCCCGAGAGGGTTGCCCTCCAAGCTACTGAGGCTGATCATATTCTGCTCATTAGAAGTGAGGAACGCGATGAGAGGCCGCCCGAGGCCAAACAGGAACCGCCCACCGTGATTACCACCGCGCCGCCGGCAAGCGTGTCATCGAGCAATAGCAATGCTACCTTCGGATACCGAGAGAGTCAAATGGCGATGGACGGAATGCCGGTAACTAGCCTCACCGAATCGCAAGCTGCGAAACAAGCGTCCCATGACTCAGCCTATGCCCAGTTCATGAAGCCCAAATTCGCTCGGGCCCCTATCAAGGAAGCTGGAAGAGTCGCCTACCTCGGCGAGTCGTCGAATCTGTCGCTCCTGGTTCAAGACCGCCATGGCACCACCGATGTTGTGCACTATCCTCTACCTCCCAACATGGGCGGCACGCGTGCCAGAGTGACGGACTTGGATAGCCTGGAGTTAGACATCCTTCACCAACGTGGTGCCTTTCTACTGCCGCCGAAACCTTTGTGTGACGAGCTGGTCGAGGCCTACTTCAAATGGGTTGCCCCGGTGGTGCCCATTGTCAATCGTAGTCGTTTCATGCGACATTACCGCGATCCCAAAAACCCTCCCTCCTTACTTCTGCTCCAGGCTATTCTCCTTGCTGGTTCAAGGGTCTGCACAAACCCGCAACTCATGGATGCCAACGGCTCAACGACCCCGGCTGCCATGACGTTCTACAAGCGCGCAAAGGCTTTGTACGATGCCAATTATGAAGACGATCGCGTGACGATTGTCCAAGCCTTGGTCCTTTTAGGCTGGTACTGGGAGGGACCGGAGGGTACGTTAACCTTGCCTTCGCTCTGTTTGCAAGCCTACTAATACGCTTAGACGTGACGAAAAACGTATTCTATTGGACACGTGTGGCGATGGTCGTGGCGCAGGGCTCGGGCATGCATCGAAGGTATGTTGACTTTATCGTCGGTAGGAAACTGAGTATGCTCATTCAAGCACAGCGTGGAATCGTCTCAGCTTAGCAAACCCGACAAGAGGCTGTGGAAGCGGATTTGGTGGACCCTTTTCACTCGGGATCGGTCGGTGGCGGTTGCACTGGGTCGCCCTATTGGTATCAACACAGACGACTCGGACGTCGGAATGCTGACCGAAGACGACTTCATCGAAGACGAGGTCGACATCGCCGCGGAGTATCCGCCTGATCCGGTCCATGTGCAGTTCTTTCTCCAATACGTCAAATTGTGCGAGATCATGGGCTTGGTTCTTTCCCAGCAGTATTCCGTGGCTTCAAAGTCGAGGCGCATGAACGCAATGGACTTGACGCACTCAGACATGGCCCTGGCAGATTGGTTACAGAACTGTCCCAAAGAAGTATGTTGGCAACGGCAGCAACATCACTTCTGGGCGGCCCTGCTGCATGCGAACTACTAGTGAGTCTCTGAGCAGAGCTTCTAACTTGACTACGGCTAATCCTGTCAAAAGTACGACTCTTTGCCTGCTGCATCGAGCGCATATGCCGCCTGCCTCTTCGGCCCCCAGCAGTTACCGCGTGGAAGAGATGACCTATCCGTCGCGCACTATCGCTTTCCAGGCCGCAGGGATGATCACATCCATCGTTGAGAATCTGCAGGCTCATCATGAAATTCGTTATACACCCGCCTTCATGTGAGTAGGATTCATTGCCAGCCGTTGCCAATCTGCTACTGACTCTTGAACAGTGTCTATAGTTTGTTCTCAGCTCTTATCATGCACGTTTACCAGATGCGTTCATCTGTGCCCTCAATTGTGGCGACCTGCCAGGAGAGGATCAACATCTGCACCCAAGCTCTCAAAGACGTGTCCAAGGTCTGGCTTGTGGCCAAGATGGTACACACGTTGTTTGAATCCATTCTTGGAAATAAGGTCCTCGAGGAACGCCTGCAGAAAGCTGCAGGTAAAAGACATCAGCGTGTGCGGCCCGAGACAGTGCAGCAGCCGCACGTCAGAAGACCTGATCCACCAAAGCGCAAGTTTGATGACATGGATCTCGGCTTGCCTAACGGTGGACCGACACCCCCGGTGTCTTACGAGCGATCTCGACCCCAAACCCCAGCGGTCACACCGTCTAGGGATCTGCCGCCCGGTCTGAACGTGCCGCAGGGTTCGCCTCCGGGACATGGAGGGCCCGGCAACTCGCGGGCGACTACACGTCCAACAACACCTTTCAATCAGTTCTCTTTACCTGCCACCCCACCAGACCTTTTCCTCGTCACGCGAACAACACCTAATCTTTCACCGTCTCTGTGGGAGAACTTCCAGCCCGATCAACTTTTCCCTGACGGGACGGCATTCTTCCCAGAGCTGACATCTCCACACACTGCTACAGTTGACCCGCAACTGCAGGTGCCTTCTCAAGTACATCAACCCGGTATGATGCCGCAGCACATGCCAGGACGAAGCAGTATCTCGGCCTCTCACGGGAGCCCGGAGCTTCTATCGAGTCTGCCTCCAGGCATTGCACTGCAGGGCCAGCATGCGCAACAGATGTATGGTCTGGAAAATCAGCAGACGTGGCCCATGCAAAACCTCGAGGCGACTTTGCGTCCCATGGATGCCGGCAGTCAGGACGACAACTGGAGTACGAGCTCTCGCAGTGGCCCAACCGCGCCGACCACGCTCAATGTAGAGGATTGGTAAGCTCTTCCATTCATGCAGCTACACCCTCAAGAGGTGTCTCTTAATGTGTCTGACTAATGATGGTCTTTAGGTTCCAATTCTTCGGCATCAATGGTAGTTTTGGCGAGATGGCGACTTGAGAAGGATTCATAATGTAGAGCGTACCCCGTGCCAATCGGACATGCGTGCGTCTCAATGGACAGGAATTAGCTTGTGGGGGATGATTGTCCTTGCATCTTTAGCTTTGCTGGAATTCAGTCCCGTTTTCTGCATGGGTATGGTGGACGTCATGTTGGAGTCTGTTTCGGTGAGGGATCAACGTTTTTACAAGCAGGAAATCAAGGAGTACGAGGATAGGGGCCTGGGACATGCTGATACTCCTGTATATATACACACCTACCTCACACATAACGAAGGAATCGAAGGAGTCGAAGGAATTGAGACCCTGGTGCGATTTACATTCTTGCATACAACTGTGGGAAGAGCTGAGTCATTCTGCTTCATGTGATGGGACTTTACTGGAATGGGCCTAGTGAATGACGACATCGCGATGATGGCGGCTCAGCCAATGACAGCTGGAGTCGATCTGGGTCTCTCCATACCGACTCCCGTCTAGAAGACGGCCAACCGACCGGCTAGTGGCTGTGACTCTTCCTGGGGAAGCCCATAATTTGTTCCCGTCCATTCTTCCTCTCCTTCCATCTTTTCGACTTTGAAAACACTCATCTTATATTTTTTGGCAAGCTTTGATTGTTCTTGACCATTGCTACCAATCTTGAATTGTTGATTGATTCATCACCTGGTGCCGTCTACTTGTTTCATTTCTCAGTTTTTCCCCCTCCCCCCCTGTCGGTTCTGCTCCCGCGAATCCTTCCGTCCCCGCAGCGATGTCGGCCTCAGGATCCGGTGCTGATTCCAGCGCTTCCAAGAAGGCGTTCCCTCGCGTTGACCTCGAGGGACACAATCTGCCTCCTTCACCTGCTCCATCTAGCCCTCATGGTGTTAGACGCTACAACATCGCCACCGAGCTGGTCTACACGGACAGCAATGATCAGTACAATGCCAGCAGCGTCCCGATCTATCAGGTACCGACCAGCCCGCCCAGTCTTGCAATGCCACCCGGTGTGACGTCGAGGGTAGGCAATTGATGTATGAGCGATAGCTAATTCTAGTCGGATAGAGTGCCACTTTCAAACAAACCTCCGGCGGCGGCGGCGGCGAATATGATTACACCCGCTCCGGAAATCCCACCCGAACTCACCTCGAGCGTCACTTGGCTAAGATCATGTCGGCTCAGCGCGCTTTAGTTGTGTCGTCCGGCATGGCCGCTCTAGATGTGATCACCCGCTTGCTTCGTCCTGGCGATGAAGTTGTGACCGGTGATGATCTTTACGGAGGAACCAACCGCCTTCTGAAGTATCTTTCTACCAACGGCGGAATCATTGTGCACCATGTGGATACCACCGACCCCGAGAAGGTGCGCGAGGTCTTGACCTCGAAGACGGCCATGGTTCTGCTCGAGACCCCGACCAACCCCCTGATCAAGATCGTCGACATTCCCCAGATCGCCGCGGCCGCCCACGAGGCGAACCCCAACTGTCTCGTCTCGGTCGACAACACCATGATGTCGCCCCTTCTCCTCAACCCGCTTGATCTGGGGGCGGACATTGTCTACGAGAGTGGTACGAAATATCTGTCGGGTCACCACGACCTCATGGCTGGTGTGATCGCAGTGAACGACCTGGCGCTGGGCGAGCGTCTCTATTTCCCCATCAACGCGTCCGGCTGCGGTCTGTCGCCCTTCGACTCGTGGCTGCTTCTGCGCGGTGTCAAGACCCTGAAGGTGCGCATGGACCAGCAGCAGGCAAACGCGCAGCGGATTGCGGAGTACCTCGAGACCCATGGCTTCAAGGTGCGCTACCCGGGACTGCGGTCGCACCCTCAGTATGAACTCCACCACTCGATGGCCCGCGGCTCGGGCGCGGTTCTCTCGTTTGAGACGGGTGATGTGGGTGTCAGCGAGCGGATTGTGGAAAGCGCCAAGCTGTGGGCGATCAGCGTGAGTTTCGGCTGCGTGAACAGCCTGATCAGTATGCCCTGCCGCATGAGCCATGCCAGCATCGACGCCAAGACGCGCAAGGAACGAGCGATGCCGGAGGATCTCATCCGGTTGTGTGTGGGTATCGAGGATGTTGACGATCTGATCGATGACCTGCAGCGCGCCGTAAGTTCTGGCCTCGATTTGCAGTTGGGAGTATGCTTTGCTAACAAACATGTTGTAGCTGGTGCAAGCTGGCGCGGTCAACGTCACCTTGGAAGGGATCCAGGCGAACACGTCTGAATGAGCTACATATGCATAATGACACTGGGAAGACGGTGCGTTGGGCCATGAAGGACGGAAAGCCCAGGGAGCGAGGGGTTTTATGATTTGGGAGACAATTTTTTTAGTTTAATTTGTGTTGGGCGTTTGGAGCATGTTAATTGATTTGTATGTATGAAGACCCAGAAGAAGAAAAAAGAAATGATAGATCCAGCATCGTGATGAAAGTGTTCCTTGGATATTTACCCGGGAAGTGGACCGACCGCGCAAGGGTTGATTGAAAATGGTCGGGATTTCGAATACCCATTGATTGATTGATTAATACGAGCACAACGATTGCATCGGCCGGCATCGGAGGACAATTCCCGAGGCGCATCCAAATTATGCCGGCCGGGTGATTCTCGTCCGTTGGTGCATGTCAACTCACTCACCCCCGACTTCTTTTTTCTTTGCGGCTGACTGACTGACTGACGTTCGTTGGCTTTTGCAGAAGTGACATTTTGGGTGCGCTGGTGACCAGCACAATGTTTCAGTAGTCTGTATTTTGAGTGAGGCTTTTTATTCTCTGCATCGTTCTTCATTTTTGGAATCTGCGGCAATTGTCTTCTCCAGCCACCGTCCGGATGACGTTATATTAGCAATCAGCCCTCTCTCTCTCTCTTTTGTTCCCTCTGTTAGAGAATGACGCGGAGTGCACTTGCCCCCGAGGCGTCTTCGTCTCTTCCTACGAGTATGTCGGCCATCAGCGAGCGATCGCCCGTCTCCACGACGAGGTGGAACACCGACCGTCTGGGGACGCGCCTGGGGGTGGATATCGCCAGCGCGGCCACGGCGGGTGCGCTCACCTGCCCGGTCATCACCGTGATTGATCGGTAGGCCACCACCGCTCAACAACCTTACTCGGTATGATTCCACTGACCTGTTCGCCACAATCTCCAGCGCGATCATCGAGAAAGCGGCCAAGGGCCTCCCGATCCAACAAACGATCACCTCATGCTTCCGCTCCATGGCCGCCCACCCGGGGGCCTTCTTCCTCAGCACGCCGTTCCTGCTGATCTACACGTTGTACACCGCGACCTACCTGACGGCCAACACGATCGACACGGTGATGTCGACGATGCGCGACAAGCCCTTCTCGACGGTCTTCCCCGGCACGGCTAAATTCTTGTCGACGACGGTCGTCAACATGGGCATCTGCGTATACAAGGATGCCCGATTCGCGAGGATATTCGGGGCGTCACCTCCCGGCAGTAATACCCCCAGCACTACCACAACACCCCCCAAACCGAACTCCAACCTCTCCCCAACAATCGCAATCCCCCGCCCCCAACACACCACCGCCGCCTCGTGCCACCCGGCCACCGGCCCCGGCGCCCCCACCGTCCCGCGCATCTCCTACGCCCTCTTCTGCCTGCGCGACAGCATCACCATCTTCGCCTCGTTCAACATCCCCGCCCTGCTGGCGCCGCACATCCCCGACCGCGTCGCCGCCACCCCGGGCATGAAGGCGGCGCTGGCGCAGTTCAGCTGTCCCGCGCTCATGCAGTTCGCCAGCACGCCTATGCATCTGCTGGGCTTGGATCTGTATAATCGGCAGCCGCCCGGTGGGCTGGGGTGGCGGGAGCGCGTGGCGCGGATCCGTAGGGATTATGTGCCGAGTTGTTTTGCGCGGATGGGCAAGATCGTGCCGGCTTATGGGGTTGGCGGGGTGGTGAATGTGCGGATGAGGGCTTGGTTGATGGGGGGGTTGGAGGGAAGGACATAGGTTGCCCCCGAGGACATGGGAAGAATATCGCTTTGCCTGGTTGAGTGCTGGATTCAGCTGGGAGGTTAGATGGCTTTTTGGGGGGTGTGAGATTCTCCCCGCGTCATGCATATTATGAGATTTTTGATTTCGGGGAGGGAATATGGTCCTTGCGACTGGACTTGGACTTGAATATGATTTTGCTCGGCGATAGACTACTTATGCGGAGGTTGATGCCGCTACCTACACTACTTACACTTACACTACTTACGTTACCACAGATTACACTACACTACACTACACTACACTACACTACACAAATACACTCTACACACACACACACATACACACACAAGCACATACATACCTCTATACAGACATACAGACATACAGACATACAGACATACCCACCCCACTCCACTCCACTCCAATTCACTAATTCCATACACCCATAATTGGACAAATACCTCCTTCAACGTTCAATTCAGGATTCAGGTGCAGATCCAGATCACGCCAACTATCCCGGGCCTTTGGCGTTTCATTTCCGGCAGTCTTCTTGCACATGCACATTTGCTTTGAGGTTATGTCTCCTTTACTATGCTATGCTATCCTATTACTATCGAGAGTAGACTAGAGCTGTAAATACCGTTGCTTTTTCTGTCGGCGTGTCTGAGGAAGGAAGCAGAGTAAAGCGGATCTGCTGCGGGCTAGAATTCCACTTGTTTTTTTTTGGGTGGTATATGCAGTTTTCTGGTTCAATTCCATGGTCATCCTGATTGATTATTTGCACTCGGATACATGGGCATGAATTCGTTGTTGAGGATGTTTGGTCGGTGGGGAAGGGTTGGTTGGGGTCCGTGGTGCAAGGGCGTTGAGTTGAGGGTGTGGTTGTAGCTAGGTACTGGAGGTATTGTGCTTATAGTCAAGGCTCAGGTGGCATGGCGTCGTCGGTATTACTGTTCTGTTTCTTGAGATTGAAGATGAAGATTAAATCCGGGAAAGGATGCAATGAATTGGCTGGGATTGATTACCTTGGCTGGGATATGTATATGTTTGTATGTGTCAAGGTGGTTGGTTAAGATCTGTTGCAGTCGAGAGCATTCATTTGGGTATTATAGTACAGTACCTAGGTGGGTACACTACAGGTATGCACTGCACTCGCTGCTGCTGCTGCTGCTGCTCTGGTCGCTGTGGATCGCTCTGGCGGGCTTGCTAGGTGATCTTGGGGCTTGGAGTGGCTACTATACGTCGACTTCACGTCAAGCCCTAGGATTTGCATTGAGTTTAAGTTGGGGACTGACTAGCTACCTAGTCTAGCAGTAGACTGGTGGTCTTTGAAACCACCCCTGGGTCTGTTGGTGAGGCTGTTATCGGGATAAGGAGCAGATGGGCTTAGTCTTATGCTATCCTGTGGCTGGAATTGTTCTGCAGGTCTGTTTGGATAAGAGGTTGTTGTTGATGGGCTGGTCTGCATTTTTTCGATATGGGTTGACTGGTACGTGCTATTGGTTATATGGACCTATGGACTGTAGTATAAGAATGTAGGTCACATTTGGGTATACAGGGTGTTAACAATGTTGATACTGACCTTGGATCAAAGGAAAGATGTTCGGCGGTCCTATATAGGACCGCCGCGTAAGACTTGGACTGGGGCGCGGTATACTATGTAGTTTTAGAGTCTACGATTGAAGTAGGTTAATTCTGACTTGAAGGTAACTGAGACGATGTGTATGTATATCTTTCTATCAAACCCTTCCCCGAGATACCATGTACCCGTAGGTCAGCTCCCTCGCCACTGGGCAGTACGTTACCTCTCAAGGATCTATCCAGACTCTTTATATACTCAGCTCCACAGCCCAGGTGCTACGAACCTGTTCACCCGAGGAGAAATACGACCGACTTAGACTCAAGGCCCGTAGGCGTGAACATGTAGGCTTACAATACTTGACAGAACCAAGCCCTATAATTTAGCTACCCCCAACCCCCACCCTCTCCCTCGCCCTCACTCTCACCCCCCTCGATCCCCTCCCCGGCATAGCAACCTGATAATCACACCGAAACGCCACATCCTCCTCCCCCGTCTCAAACAGCGTCATATCAAACGCGCGCACCAACCCCGCAATCACCAGAAACAGCTCCGCGCGCGCGAGCTCGATCCCCAAGCACCTCCGCCCTCCCTTCCCAAACGCCATTTGAAACCTCCGTCGCTCCCTCCCGGCATCCCCGAGCCACCGATCCGGATCAAAGGCCCACGGCTCCGGAAACACGGTCTCGGCCGTATGCGCGCTCAACGTCGTGATGCTGATCGGTGTGCCCGGGGGAATATCATAGGATTCAGGTTGCGCACCGGGAGGGCTGCACGGCGATGGGGCAGCATGCGCGGAGGGCGTGTAAGTTACCGGCTCATAGGCGATCCGGGCGGTTCGGGCCGTGACGCCGAAGGAGAGGCGGTTGCTTTCTTCGAGGATCGCGGAGAGGTAGGGGAGTTGTTCGAGCTGGGTCCAGGAGGCTGAGGCGGGGACCGTGCGGAGCTCCTGGCGTAGTTTCGCGAGATGCGCCGGGTTGGCGAGCAGGTGGTAGAAGGCGACGGTGAGGGTCTGCGCGGGCGATTCGGTCCCTGCTAGCGCGAGCAGGGTGCCTTCTTGTTCGAGGCGGAGGAGCGTCTTCTCTGTGTCGGGGAGGTTGGGAGCGTCGAGGACGGAGTCGAAGACGGATTCTTTGCCTGTTGGGCCCAGGGGTTTAGTTGCGGTGGTTGCTGTTGCTGATGATCTGGTGTGCGTGAGGGTGAGGAGTTCGTTGCGGACTCGCTTTTGGGTTCTTAGTGATGATGCTTGCGGAGCTGGGATGGGGGAGTGGGGCTTACGTCGAAGAGTGCAAGCATATCCACGAGGCCTGGGGGCATCATCGGCCGGCTGATGGATAGCGGGAGTAATTCGAGGAAATCCGGGATCCACGGGAAGTGCTTGTTGAGGTTGATGCCCATTAGGAGCTCTCTGCTGTTCTGGCGGAGGATGGCTGCCTTGGGCTCGTTGGATAGTATGTCGGTCTGGTGCGCAAAGAGGAAATTCGTGACGACGCTGGGGGGTGGGTTAGTCTAGCTAGATGCCTGCCAAGTAAACGCTGGCAACCAACTTACTCGTTGGAAAAGGCAAAAAATGCATCTGACAAGTTCACTGGCGTGTTGTCGGCTACATGGGCTGCGATCAATTGCTTCAATTGCTCGACCTTGTCCGTGATCAGCCCTTCCAGATACAAAATGTTCTTCTTGCTGAAGAAATGGGTGAGGGATTCCCGTCGGAGTCTGTGCAGGTGATAGTCGGCGGTGGTGCCCGCTCCCACCGGGGATGCGAAGACTCCGCAGCTGATAGTCGTACTTGTCCCTTCGGGCCATTGCGGGCGCGTAGACAGTGTCCAGAAAGCCGACGTCGTTGATGTGGATCTCCTCGGGAGTGACTCGGATGATGGGGCCTGAAGAGCGTCGGTACTTGGATTGAGCATGGAGCGGATTCTGGCGTACCATATTCCTTGTGAAGCTCTTGGATTTTGAAGACGTATTGACCGGGCTGGATGGCGTCGTAGTAGAACTCGTACCCCCATGTCAGAGCTGCGAGGCGGGGACCTGGAATATGCGCGATGGGGTGGAAGTAGAGGCGACGGATAGCTTCAGCTGCTGTCCATAGCAACAGCACAACGGCGGTGGTTTCGACAATCCAGAGCAACGTCATGATCATTGGCAGCTTGCGCACTCAATGGAGGGGAGAAGAAGAAGGAGAAGGAAAAGAAAGGAGGGGAGGACGAGGAGGAGTACTTCTGGCATTAAGTTGCAGCGGTGAGGCTTATCAAGCAAAAGAAAAGGCAACCGTTGGTGATTGACTAGGCTGTGGACAAACAAACATAGCCTCCTTTGGTATCAAACCGGCCAGGATCACCCCAGATCATGCTTATCCCCGTCAATCACCGGTAGCTCCAGCACGAGTTGTCTATATCCGAGCCAATCTTTTATTTTAGAGATGGCCTTGTTCCAACCGTCATCTAATAATGAAGTAAGTCCTATACCACTGCTGGCATTCGAGGGATGCTGTTATCATCACGTCACGCACATACGCAACACCTGCGGCGATCATCACCAATTACATTCTCTTCCTCGTGTTGGGCACTCTGACAGTTATACTTCGCTTCTATGCGAGAAAGCGGTCAAAGTCCGTTGCTATGGATTGACGATTGGTTGACTTTGCCCGCACTGGTGAGTGTTGCGTGTCTGAGACTTCGAAATCGAAGAAGAACTCTTAATCTATTCCGTGCAGCTTCTGGAGTATACGCTTGCGGCACTTCTACTCTGGGGCGCCACAACAGGATCCTGAGGGGGCCATCTTCCCCAACCTGCTGATCCACGCCCAGAGGGTTATCTTTTCTCGCCCTCTGATCAACAGATCCGACTACTGCAGGTTGAATCCCACGCCGTTTGTCACAGATCCGGATCCTAAATGTGCCCCAGATTCAGTATTTTGCTGACATAGTGACAGTCTTCGCGTTAGGTCCCACCAAAACTCAGCATTCTCTGCTTCTACCGCAGCATTTTCTGCAGTAGGACGGACCACCAGGGCTGCCTTCCACACCGGGACTATGTAAGCCACCTCAAACAACAGTAAAGTCGACCAGATTCGAAGCAGGCACAACCACCCTCGCTCGCCCCCCATTATCCCTGGGCTCAAGGACCTGCCCGCCCAGAAACCCAGGCACAGTAACCACCGTATCAACATGACCATCCAGCGTGCCCCAGTCCCACCAGTCCCAAACACAACCCTTCAACCGATAGCGCAGAATCTCTCCAATGGCCGGATACCGTGGCAGATCGTCTTCTGAGTAGAGGTGCACCGACCTCGAGTACATCTGCCCCGGCCGCAGGCTGACGAGGCCGCTCTCTTCTCCCTTTTCCCCCACTGTGACCTGAACAGGATCATCGGGCCCACTGGGAAACTCACAGCCCCCGCCCTCGGTGTAAGACTCTGAGTCTCCATCCTCGTATCGCTGGCGATAGGCGCTGAACGTCCCGTAAGTACCAAAATTGTAGGTGCGGAAGATGATGGGTCGGGAGTTGTTGAAATCATCTTCTCTCCCCGGGATGCCATGATACCTGATCGTCCATGTTATGGGGAAACGCTTCCTTGGCTCCCAGTGGGAGGTCTTAGCTTTCAGCTCAACGGTGAGAACTGGGGCTCCGGGACTGGCAACGGGGGTAGTTGGTGGCCGAGGGCTTGCCGGTCCCCGTTTTAGTATTTTCGGGGAAGAAAGGATATTGCACAAGAAAAGACTGGAAGCAGTAGGCGAGGACTCACACTCGATCCGTCTGCTCCAGTGGCGGCGGGCTCCATGCCCGCGGCATCGGTGCCGGCTCCCTCTCCCCTACAAGCATGGACGAGCATCGAGCCCCGCTAGGAATGAACTATCCGTCGCCTCTACTTCCATTCCATCGCGCATATTCCAGGTCCCCGCCTCGCAGCTCTGACATGGTGGTACGAGTTCTACTACGACGCCATCCAGTCCGGTCAATACGTCTTCAAAATCCAAGAGCTTCACAAGAAATATGGTACGTCAGAATCCGTGGTGTTGGGGCTGCGAAGGCTGTTATCGTTTGCTTTTTGGGGCTTGCTGTTCGGGGGGGAGAGGGGCTCGATGCCGTTGATCTTGCTCTGTTGTCTTGATGTACTGGCTAAATGGGTCTTCCATGTATTGAATAACGCGGTGTTAGTTGGTGTGTGTTGGCTGGGGGAGAGGATGCCAAGGGCCTAAGGAGAAGGGGAGAAGGAGAGAGGATAATGAAAAGTCGGGGGTTGGTTTAGGCAGCGCATGTGATGAGGCGAGCGCTATGCTATGCTAAAGTAGGAATAGTCATTCATTTCTGTACAAACCCAGTTCAGTAGTCATATGCAGAGATGTATGTACTATACTCTATCGCTATTCATGCTTATCTTCTATCCCTAGACAACATACTGGTCTACACAACGTATTTGCAATATGTACTCGGCACCACCATATGTACCATCATCTATCACCATCTTCAAGGCGACATCTCAGTCAGCAACAACATCTGTCACAAAGAAGCGGGTGGAAACTCACGAAAACATCTCCGTATGCAAATAGACCTCTTCCACGCCAGCCATCTTACCACTACCAACACGCAACTGCGCGTCGGCCGCCGCATTACGAACGTCCTTGATCATGGACCCAGGCCCACACGTGAAGATGCCGATCTTCTGCTCTGCACCTCCTCTCCTGGTGACAGGAACTGTGGTGGTGAGGAGCTGGGACAGGTCTGGTCGACGCGCTTGATGGTATGTGATGGGGAGGGTGGGGGCTGGGTTCGATGGTTGGATCTCTTCTTTGATCTTCTCGGTAGGGGTGGTGCTGATCTTGTTCGTCACTTCAGGGGTTTTGACGTATCTCTCTTCTTCATCCCGTGAAGCCTGAGGGGGTGATGGGTTAAAAGGGGGAGTGGAATGAGAAGTGATATGGATGTCGATGTGCACGTCTATCCTGCGGGAGCTGGGACACTGTTCCAGCAGGATCCGATTGAGCTCACTGGTGTACCAGTCTGCTACTGCTGGAGACCGAGTTGCGAAGATGATGCTGATCCTAGGGAGGGCACTAGAAAAGTTGTCTCCCGCTGCATCGGTAATTGCATCGGTGGACGAATCTCTGGAAGAGTTCACCCCCTGCAGGACCTCTTCCAGAATCCCGAAAGAGAAACCACCCCCCGACCCTCCAGTCACTAAGACAATATGGCCGAATCGCGCGATGTTGAGATCTCTGGGTGTTCCGCTGTATGGCCCTTCTAGGAGGACGGGGATGGAAAATCCCGGGTGGCGGCCAGCAAGCTGTGCAAGGCGGGCTGTAATGCCGCTGCGGGGCTGGATGTAGAATGTCAGGCTTGGGCAGATGCTCCTACTCGGTACCTGCTTCGAGCATGAGGACGGGTTCGAGTCCAGCGATGTCCTAGACATGGAGGTGGGCTTGATCGCCGAGTCGAATTTCGTCGGATACGTAGAGCTTATGGTGAAAGGATGTGCGGTAAGACTGTGTAGACCCAGGCGAGGGCTAAGAAAACGGATGAAGACGTGTTGCGCGGGTCGCCACACAACGGTAACAGTTGGGACAGTGATGCGGAGGAAGCCGCATGGGAGAAGGTCGAATGTCGCGCGGTGACGGCCATGGATGAGGTGGGTTTTGGCGAAAGATATAAGAAGACTTAGGAGATAAATCGCGACAGATGCGATGAAATAGTCCCTTTTGAACATTAGAACATTAGGCTGCATACGCACAAGCCGTAGGGAACACACCATGATGAGAGACGAAAGTCACAGTGGAAGAAAAAGAAGAGGATAAACAGGAATGCGGCCAGAAGATGCGTGGCTTTGAAGAATTCGTAGAATCGGTTCCTACAGAGTCAATTTATATTCAATCAGCGGAGGCTTCATAGCTCACCGAATGGCTGGCAGAGACATAAATGTCAAATATGCCTGTGGTATCAGAGCAGCCACCCCCGTCCAGTATGTGATCTCCGTCTTCCACTGCTTCACCATGTCCCCTTTTTGAATATGGACGACAATAAACGGAAACGTATGTACCAAAGCAAGGACGAACATGGCGTAACTAGTCCAGTGGTGGAATACCTAATAAATCAGCTGTAGCACATTGATGATAGTGGGTGAAACAAACCTGAAGTTTTTCATGAGTCACCCCAGTCAACGCTGATATAAGATTGGCTTTGGCTCCCAGGGCCCTGTTGTCGGTCAATAAAGCTCGACCCATGGACATGACATACTAACAAGACAAAAGGCAGCAGGCCCAGTGCCATCCATCCTGCTCGGGTTGCGATTGGAGGACTTCCCCCATAAGAGACCGTCTCTGTATTTGGCCAGTAGTACGGTTGTGGACCGAGGGTCATTGCTATAGCGTATCAGAAGAGTTCGTTCCAGCGCGCTCGACTCACTACCAACCGAGGAAAAAGAAAGCCCCGACAGCAATCAAGATAAAGACACCGGTGGCAGGAAAACTGATGACTGGTAACGGAAGACTTTTATAGGCAAGGTATCGACCTGTTGTCGTTGCCCTCTTCCAGACAGCCGTCCTTCGCAAAAACAGGGGACTATACTTGGCCATCATCCGAAGAATCATGAACACCCCAACCGTGGCGCAAAGAAAGTATATCGTGTTCAGCGCGTAGACGTGGTCGGCTTGATACCTGTCGAGAACTCATGAGTATACGGAATACTGAAAAGCGCGAAGACATACCAGTATCTCCAATGTCCATTGCGGTAGGCGCATTGCTCTGCGGTCAACTTGCAGCTATCTGCTCTGGAAGAGTGCAACATCACCGGCTGGTCCAGCCATGGTAAACCCATTTTGAATAGATTCAGGTAGTAAACAGCGTGTCAAGACCGTAGAGGCAGATTATCCCGTTCAATATGGAAAGGGGGTCTTTTCAACGGAAACCCGTGCTTCATCACTGTCCATAGAGAGAGCTGAAGAGCAGAGAGAAACCACCCGAGCGAAAATCATGGCAGGCCAGCTACCCGTCGGAAACCTTTGAAGACGGCAATAACATTGCATTCCAACTCCAGACATGAACTTCTCTTTGGATCCCATAATGGATTGCTGATTGGCCGGACAGCGCTCAGAATTGAGCACATTTCGCCGGTTAGCGTGGAATGCGGACGCATGCAGCGATCCGGACAATTCTCCGTCGGGCTGTCGCAGGGCGGCCGGTTCTGTTTTCGATGGCGGGGACATTACGGAGCAGAGCGTATCACGTAAGGCCAGTTATAATAAGTCTGTATGTATCGAAATCTTCCAGCTTTGAATTGTCTGATGCGCGTCTGGTGAGCAGATTTGCGCGGATAGTTTAGCGGCATAGTCCGTTCAGCGGGACTGCATCTGAGCAGATTACCCGCGATTGGCATTGGATGGCTGGACGTTGAGGTCAAAGCCAGAGGTTATAGCGTGTAGCTCATTGTATGATTTGTATGATATGATCGTCAGTGAAACGATGATGGACATGAAGAGACTAATGAGGAGGAGAGAAGAAGGGAGGATGTTGCTCTTCCCTATCCGGCCTAGTGCCAAGTGCTCAAGTATGCCTTCCCGTTCAGGACTAGCTTCATTCAACCCTACTACGCTTTGGCAAGCGACAAGTTGTTTACAGACACAGACACACTCGGATATCCATCAACCACGCTGCCATCCACATGCTCCTGTTCCCAAAGTCCGTGATCTTTCAGCGCCTGATATCCTCCTCGGAGACTATCCGCCTGGACTCCCTTGGCACGCAGCACACTAGTGGCAATACGTGCCGTGTCGCCATTGTAACAGATCACCAGCACATGGTGGGAAACCAGCTGCGCGAGCTTGCTGTCATCACTGAACAACGTCTCCATCTCCAGCCAGAGCGCCTCTAGCACATCCGGATTGGCGAACGGCTTCGCTGTATGGAGGCTGAGACTATGTAAGGGAATATTGACCGAGCCGGGGAGGTGCCATGAATCGAAATCGACGGCTGTTCTCAAGTCCAGGATACAGCACGCCGGTCGGAGGGTGATGTTGCTCAGGAGGCCCTGAGTAAACGACTTGGGGGCTTCGTAGAAGTGCGTGAACAACACGACAGGACTTCGTTCCCAGCTCTCGTCGTACCGATGAAGATCCACCCGCGTGAGTTTCTGTGGACACGGGTTAGCATATAACCTTATTCTCTGATTCGCTTGCTCACCTCGTTCTGGATGGGATGGAACCTCTGGGGTCCCAGCTTCTCAAAATACTCCCCAATGTACTGATACGGCAAGTCACAGCATAAAAAGACGCAGTGAACAGAACCATCCGGTCCCGCCAGCTGCGTCAAGGTCCCCCCGCGTTTGCGCTTCTCGAGCATCTGCAACAGGCCCTGCAGATTGAACCCGGATGATGGGCCACAAACAATCCCTTCGCGGCACAGATCCAGCGACAGAGAAAATGAGTCTGCTGACGTGACCTCCTCGATCATGTCGACTGCGGCTTTCCAGGGAAACTCCACAGGCTTCATCAGAGCGAACGATCGCGGCCCGGGGACTCGGTCTCCCGGTGCAGTGCACACCCCCAGCCGCAACACCGACGGCTTTGCCTGCTTGAAAAAAGTTCCCAGTCCCGTCATGGTTCCGGAGGTGCCCATACCAGCACACAGGACGTTGATCTCGGGGAGTTGCTTGAAGATCTGCGGTCCGGTCCAGCGGACGTGGGCGCCCCAATTGTCGTGGTTTTCATACTGATTGGGGTTGAGGGTGTTATCGGACTGCATGGCTCTTGCACGTGCGGTTTGAATGCCGCCCCGTTCATCGTAAGGATCCGGCTGTGACGGGCCACCAAACAAGGTGATGTTAAGCCCGAAGAATTGCATCAGCTTGAGTTTGGCGTCGCTGGTCTTGTTGCTGAGATACGCTCGGGTGTCGTCGATGCCATGCATCACACGTGCAATCATCGACATAGAAATGACTGTCGAGCCGGAACTATACTCCACTATCGTTTGTGTCTGTCCAGGTATCACGCCTGATTCAAGCATGTTCATAGCTACAGAAGTCAGTGACTAACAATATGCATCGCTGTAATGGCGCATGTACCTGGTAACGCTTTGACATTGTTTGCAGGGTGCATCGTCATCATCTTCGCATAGATGCGCACCCCATCATGATGGAATGGGTTCAGATGCCGTGGCAGCTCTACGAGCGGCAACGGAGGTTGGCAGTCAGGGTCGAAGTACTTCTTGAGGGCATCCGGCCCGAAGTAGACGTTGTGCTCGTTGGTAGTGGCCATGTTGCAGGATGATGGCACGAAAGCAGTGTGATTCGGTTTGTTTCTCAGAGGGACAGATGCATGCTTTATGCTCGTTCTGTGCATATCGGTGCCCCTCCTTGCTTTGAGCTCCCCGATCTAGACAGACCGTCGCTTTCGGCGTGTGGCAGGATCATGACCCACTGGACGGCTTCCTGTATACGTTTGATGTCTGCTTTGGGTCGTTCTAGTCGATTGCGCACACTATAGTGTGATCAGACCACAACTACTGGCTGAATCCGGCTAGTGATGGACATATCGATATCTGCGATATTCGTAGACTCGGGCAGTGCATGAGAGTCTTACCCGGATGGAGCCTATCGAGCAGCTGTAACGAGTGTCTCAAACGCGTACTCTCGGACGGACATGAAGGCCAGCACGGCACAGTATGCAGATTGCATCTGCAGATCGCAAATGAGGACCTTGGCGAGGGCATTTGAGAAGGTTTCTGGACGATCCCTGCTAGCCCTAACCGGACGGCTGGCCCTTGCTTGCAGACGTGGCTCGCATGTCAATGTAACTCGACCTCATTATAGGGCTTGGCCGAATCAATGCTCGAGATGCTCTTCCCTATTGATAATTCATGAATGATCAACTCTTGTAAACCATCTCTGCTCGCATTAAGCAGTTTGGTTATGCTTTTGGCTTTCTACCTTCCACAAAATGAGCAACGCAGCATTGTACTCAGACTCCAAGGGGGGCAGCCCCAACACAGAAAGTGCAGTCATAGCGTCTGAAGATGTGGAAGCCGATGCATCAGCTACAATCACCTTCAACGAGCAAACGAATTATGTCCCCCGGAAGACCATCGTCACAGTATGAAGCACCGCCCATTTGCAGAACTGATCAACTGACACCTTCAGATCTTCCTCGCATGTTCAACAGTCGACCTGATAGCAGTCATGGACCAGACCACATTAGCGGCCAGTCTCTCGATCATAGGCGAAGCCCTTGACGCCAGCGACAGAACCTCCTGGATCTCAGGTGGCTACTTTGTGTGCGTACCCCAGAGTGCCGCCAATGACCACCACCTAACCAAGCCCAACCCAGCACATCAACATGCTTCCAGCTCCTCTATGGCCGCCTCTCCGACGTCTGGTCCCGCAAGCACGTCCTCTACGCCGGGCTCGCCATCTTCTTCCTCGGCTCGCTCGCCGCCTCCCTCGCGCAGACAGCGACCCAACTGATCATCTTCCGGGCCTTCACCGGCATCGGCGGCGGCGGGCTCGTGACGGTCGTGCAGCTCATTGTCAGCGACGTCGTGCCTCTCCGCACCCGGGGAAAGTACCAAGGCATCTTGGGGGCTGTCGTCGCGCTGTCCAACGGCCTGGGCCCCGTCATCGGGGGTCTGCTGGCGACGCACGCCTCGTGGCGGTGGATCTTCCGGCTCAACCTGCCCCTCACGGCCCTGACCGTGTGCTGCGTGGTCTTCTTCCTCCCGCTGCGCAAAGTCACGGGGGACTGGAAGCGCAAACTCCACGCCATCGACTTCTTCGGCGCGCTACTCGCATTGGGCGGTACGTCGCTGTTACTGCTGGGTCTGACCTGGGGCGGCGGGGAGCGGCCCTGGCGCTCGGCGCCGGTCATCGGGACCATCGCCGGCGGCGGGGTGGTGTGTACCGCGTTCGTGGTCTGGCAGGTGAAAGGCACGGCGTACCCGCTGGTGCCGATGCACATCTTCCGGTCGGGGATTGTCAACGGCGCGTGCATCACCATGTTCCTGCACGGGTGGAATATCCTGGTGCAGCTGTACTACATCCCGGTGTTCTACCAGCTGGCGATGGGGTACTCGGCCCTCCGGGCGGCGGCGATGCTGCTGCCGATCACCATCATGGCTTGTACGCCCTCTCCTGTGCTTTCTTCTCCCCAACCCTATCCAAACAGATATCGCTAATAAGAAAAGTAGCGGTCAGCAGCACGCTCTCCGGCCTGGTGGTGCACTGGCTCGGTCGGTACCGGGAGCCCATCCTCTTCGGCTGGGTCGCCTGGGCTGTTGGACTAGGGCTGTTCTCGACCCTCGATGCGTCCTCGGGGTTGGGCAAGCAGATCGGATATGCGCTGTTGACGGGTGTGGGCCTAGGGAATACACTGCAGCCGTGAGCCACCTTCCTTTCTTTCTCTTCTTATCAGCTTGGATATGTGTTTTAAGCGCAACGCTAACCCAGACCCATAGCGCCCTAATAGCAATCCAAGCGGGTGTCGCGCGACGCGATATGGCCGTAACAACATCCTTCAGGAAGTAAATACGTCCCCAGCCACCGCATCCACAACCCCCGCGATTACCTTACCCCATACAAGACCAACTCTGACACCATGGATTTGGAAAACAGCTTCACGCGGAACCTAGGAGGAACCCTAGGCCTCGCGATCGCCGGGACGATACTGTACGCTTGCCTTGCCCTTCCCCATTCCTCCATCCTGATAACACTAAAAAAAAAAAAAGAAACCAACCTCCTCACCCAAGCAACCACCTCCCTCCCCCTGACCCCAACGGACAGGACGACCTTCCTCCGCAACCCTACAACCTACCTCGCCAACCTCCCGGCCACCGACGCCGCCCAGCTCCGTGCGGCCATCCTCCCAATATACCAGCAGGCCTTCCGGATCATCTTCCGGATCGGCGCGGGGATGGCGGCCGTCGCGGTCGTGGTGGTGTGGGTTCTGATTCCGCAGGTGGCGCTTGAGCGGGGGGTGGAGGCTTCTCCACCTCAAGAGGAGGGGGAGGCTGAGCCTGTAAGGAGGAAGGGTGGGGAGTTAACGGGGATGTGAAAGCGAGGCGGTGGTGCGGTGGAGGCTTTTATGCTTTGGGAATTAGGTCTTAGGCTTCAGGTGTTAGGGAGGAATAAGAGGCTAGCTCTACGTAGTACAGTACAGTCTTGGCTGCAGACGGCGCTATCGATCAGGATATACGGATATGTGGTTCCCAAGGATCTATGTCCGCAAACTATGCTACCTGCTTACCTTACCTACCAGCCATTCTTTGTTTCTAGTTTCGGTTCCTATAGCATGAGCCTATCTTCGAGGGAATCTGTAGGACAATACTGGATACATAGCTGCGGACCTATGGTATACTCTCGAGCAGCAGCAGCAGCAGCAATACCAAACGCGTCCATTGCTAGGGCAGTCAAGATTGTGATACAGGAAAGAAAACGACGTGGTTGGGAACGGGCCAGTGGCGGATGATGCTCGAGCTGTTAGTCTACAATACCTACTAGGTAGTAAGTTCATTGCTTCAGATCATCTGGGCATGGAACGGGGTAGGTAGGACACGCTCAGACGAGAAAAGCAGAGAGATATCTTAGACCAGCCAACTTCTCCCGTTCTCTACGGCAAGTATTGAGGTGCGAAGGGACAACAAGCACAGGTCCCTGTTGCCTACTAAGATAGCACAGTGTAATATCTCATTACAAAGCATAAGGCTCAAAGCTCAAAAACAACCGCACCGCTTCCTAGCTCTATCTCTTAATCCCTCGAGGGCACAAATATCCAACATCAAGCCCCCCACCCCAAAACCACCACGGAAACAAAAACGCAGTGCAGTCATCAATCATCACATCATAACCCCGAAACCAAACTAACCCTCCTCCACAACAACCACGCAATCCACCACCCAATCCACAAACGCCTGGGCCTCGACCTTCCACCGGCCCTCGCTCCAAACCTCCTCCACCAGATACGTCCACGACCATTTCGGCCCTCTGCCTAAACCCTCCTTTGACGACCGCACCGAGAAATCCCGATTCACATGCAACGCGCCCGCGGCGGCAGCGGTCGCCGTGCCGCGGTGGCGAGCGTGCCATTCGCGCTCGGCCTTCTCGCCGGCGCGGCGGGCGACGGCCTCCTCGTCTTCGTCCTGGTAGAGCTCGCACTTGGTGCATTCGGTGCAGCGGGCGCCTGGGTTGATGCGGAAGTGCTGGCAGAAGTGTTTGTAGCCTTCTAGCTCTTCTTCCTCTTCTTCGTCGTCATCGACGACGACTTCGTCTTCGGCTTCGGAGTCAGGGTCAGGGTTGTGGGGTTGAGCTGGAAAGTTCCGTTGGTGCAAGGGGATGTTCTCTGCGTTGTGGCGGCGACGAGCCGCTGGTGCTCGACGGCGGTTGCGCTCACGTCCACCACCCAGCCCACCAGTCCACGTCGAAGTCAGCGCTTTGCGACACAGATAACACATCGAGTAGCCGCAGACACAGGTGAGTTTGTTGCAGCCGGTGGATTTGACGAACGACAGCCCGCAGCGCGGGCAGGTGCGCTTGACCGCCGCGGTGCGGGCGGCCTCGACGGTGGCGCGCAGGTCCAACAGCAGCGGTTCGTGGCAGACGTGCGGGTCGCGCCAGGGTTTCTGGCAGGCGATGCAGCTGACGCGCTGGCAGGCAGGGTTGGCGCAGGTGAAGCGTTTGGGCCGGGTGCGGAGGGTGGTGTTGAGCAGGGCGGTGCGGAAGGTCGCGCGGATCGCGGCCGGGTTGAGCAGGTACATGACTGTGACCGGAATGAGCAGGAGGGGGATCAGGTCGAGGATGAACACGGCGATAATGAAACTGGAGATGAGGCCCTCGCCGCGGAAGCGCCAAACCAGCGCGGACGACGGGTGGTGGATCGGGTCGACCTCGGCGTAGGCGCACGAGGGACAGTGGATGAGCTTGAGCTGCGACTTGCGCAGGGCGTCGGAGGCCACCCGCGCCTCGAATTTGGCGTACGTCTCCGCGCCGGAGCGGTCCAGCTGGATCGCCCGCTTCACGACCGCCGCGCTCAGCGACCCCTGGCAGCAGCCGTCTTGATCTTGCCTACCACCACCACCACCACCAAAAGGCGCAATGCATTTCAGGGTCACGCGGCCGACGTCGACCGACTTGTTCCACCCTTGCCCGAACAGCGCCTCGTGGATGGTGCGGCGGATGCAGCCGTAGCAGATGACATGCATGCTGTCCGAGCACGTCGCGATCTGCTCGAAGGTCACATCCGCGAAGCAGCACTCGCATTCGTACAGCGCCTCCGCCGCCTTGGCCTCGTCCTCGTTCAGCGTCTCTGCCAGCGCCAGATCCTTGCGTTCCTGCTCTTCCCTCCGGGTTCGGAGCAAAGGAGCCAGCAGTGCCTCGTGTAACTCCCGGTCCAGCTCCTCGCAGCCCGTCTCCTTCAGCCTCGGGACCGCCTCCCCATCCGCCGCGGCCGGCCGCTGCCACACCACCAGAGGATGCTCATTCTTCTCGCGGCTGCGTTTGAACAACGGCAGGAAGCTGTTGAGCGTCGCCCGCCAGGTCTTGCGCGAGAGGTCCTGGAGGGTCGGACGGGCGCGCAGGTAGCAGAAGTTTACTTCCGCCAGCACCGCCTCTACCGTACTCTTGCTCAACGCGCTGAACTCCTTGGCTAGGGCAGCCTTCACAGCGGCCTTGTATCGAGGGGATCGGAAGAGCTCGTGGGGAGGGATGACGAGGGGATCACCTCCGCTGGCAGTCGCCGTCGCAGTCGACGCAGTATCTACTGCTGCTGCTGCGCCCCCATCAGCGGTGCTGCCCGTTGTCCCACCCGGCACGTTCCATCGGCCCGCCACCCATTCTTCTTTATGTCTTAGGAGCTGTTCGACGCAGACATGCAGACGGCTGGTTCCGTCGAATCGGACCAGGAGTTCGCGGAAGACTTCGACGCGGATGTCCGGGAAGATGCGGGCCAGGGATTGCAAGGCCTGGTTGAGCTCTTCTTGTTCGCGTCTCCAATCCTCGGCGGCGGGTTTCAAGGCGGCGCTCGTGCGGGTCCGGGAGGTGATTCCGAAAGGGTTGTTGCGCAGGGCGCGTTCGCTGATCATAGCGGAGGAGGCATTGTTGGTGTTGCTGTTGGTGCTGCTGTCGTTTGGACGCAGCGGCGAGGAAGTCGGGGTGGATCTGAAGCTGGGAACGGAGAACGACACCATTTTCGCATCGAACGATGGGAAAGCCTGAATGCTACATGATAGTGGGAAGAGGCTGAAATGGAGAGCACTAGGCAGCAGCCCGGGATGTGATTATGGTGGTGTGGATTATGGGATGATTGGGAGTGGGCGAGAGGAGATGGTGAGCTGACAGTGAAATGACCAAATGGGCAGAATCATCGGATATCAAAGGCGGCCCTTCCGCCTTCCCCACCACAACGCCGGACACCCTGTGCTACGCTGTGCTGTTTGAAAGTGTCTTAGATGGTTGCTTACACCCAATACCCAGTGGTGAATACCCAGTGGTGGGGATTGTCCCAAATGCAACAGGCTACTCTAGATAAGACTACCTTGCAGTACACCATTAAGTGCAAATCATTCATTAACGTTTATATACACAGTCTTGAGAAAGCTTGTTTTACTCATAGATACCTTTACAATTTGGCCTTGGCACCCTCCAACAGCTCGGCACCAGCCCCCGTAATGGCCGGCTTACCGGTCTCCACCACCGTCGTCTGGAAGAGAACGGTATTGCCCTCCTTCCACATCTCCGTCTTCAGGGTCTGACCCGGCAGCACCACTCCCGAGAAACGAACCTTGAGGTTCTTGAAAGGACCAAACGTGCTGAACACGTGCTTGCCAGAGACACCAAGCGAGCACAGCCCGTGCAGGATCGGGGTCTTGAAGCCACCCACCTTGCTGAACTCAGGGTCAATGTGAAGGGGGTTGCGGTCACCGTTTAGACGGTACAGAGCGGCCTGGTCCTCGGACGTCTTCTCCTCGACAATGGCATCGGGCTTGCGCTGAGGAGGCTTGTAGGCAGCGGTCGCAGCCTTGGGGCGAGGAGCAGTGGGCTTGGGAGACCCGCCGAATCCGCCACTGCCACGAATGAACACAGTCGACTCGTTGTAGAAGAGGTCCTCGCCGGTCTTAGCATCCTTGGTGGTGTAACCCGAGACAACCAGGGCGGCGTTGCCCTTGTCCACCACGTCAATGAGCTTAGGGTAAGTCAAGGTCTTGGCCTCGGTCGGGATGGGGAATTTGCGGACTTCCATGTACTGCTCGCCGTGCAGCAGCATCATGGGCGAGAAGTTGGCCACAATATCGTCCATGTTCCAGGGATTGGCGGTGTTGAACCAAGGGATCACACCGTAGGTGGGGAGCGCCTGGAAGTGTTCGTTGTTCTCGTACACCAGAGGCAGGTCGGTGCGCTTGGCGCCCACACTCAGGTTGTAGAGGATGATGTCGCGATCCACGAAGTCGAAGGGGGTGCCATCCGTCGTGGCCTGCTTGGCCTTCTCGATCGCCTGCAGGACCTTGTTGCCGCCGCTTTCCGCCTCCTTGCCGCTGCGGTTGGACATGTTGGCCATGATCTTCTCAGCACCGGCCTGGCCATCTTCAGGGTGGTCCGCGCGACCGTCCTCAAAGTTGGTAATCTGCTTCCAGTGGTTGCGCACTTCTTCGGGGGTAAGCTTGACATCCACGGGGAAGCCGTGGCCACCGGCGCGCTGCCAGCGAGTGCGAGTGAACCAGCCACTGCCGCATTCGTACAGACCCTTGGTGCTGGGCTCGGGCATAATGTCAGAGGAGAGAAGAACCACCAGGGGAGCAACATAGTCGGGCTTGAATGCCTGGACCATCTCCTCGGGCATGATAGTGCGGGTCATGTTGGTACCGGCGTTAGGAGCAATGGTGTTGACCTTGATGTTGTACTTGGCGCCCTCCAGAGCCAGAGTGCGGGAGAAACCGAGGATGCCGAGTTTCTACTGTGCGTCAGCAATGCTTCTTCCGAGGTGCTAAGGGAGTCATCTTACCGCTGCGGCGTAGTTGGCCTGTCCAAAGTTTCCGTAGATACCGCTGGTGCTGGCGGTATTGACGATGCGGCCATACTTCTGCTTCAACATGTAGGGCCAAGCAGCCTTGGTCACCTTGTAGGTACCACGCAGATGGACATTGAGGACGGGGTTCCACAGGTCATCGGTCATGTTGGTGAAAGCCTTGTCGCGAAGGATACCGGCGTTGTTGACCAGGATATCGATGCGGCCGAAGGCGTCGATGGCCGACTTGACGACGTTCTCGCCGTCCTCGCAGGAAGCCTTGTTTCCAACCGCCTTTCCGCCCATCTTCTTGATCTCTTGAACGACGGGCTCGGGGTCGACGAGATCGTTGACAACGACAGCAGCGCCGTACTTGGCGAATAGCAAGCAGTATGCGCGACCCAGACTGAAACATGTCAGCTACTGAACAAAGCTTGTGTTCAAAGATACATACCCGTTGCCACCACCGGTCACAAGCGCAACCTTGCCCTTGAAGTCAGGCTCCTGTCCTGCCTCAGCACCGGGCAGCTTCAGGCCATCCTCCAACAGAGCCATGAAATCAGCCGGGCCGGTGGGATAGCTGGGCTGGGAGAAGTCGTTGACATCGTTCCACTTCCTTGCGATGGCTCCAGGGGTCAAAGTAGCGTCAGTCTTCAGAAGCGCACCCTTGGCACGCTCCCAGCGGAGCTTAGCCGCGTGGCCACCACCGACTTCGTAGATGCCACCCGTCTCAGTCGTGTTGGAGGAGTGAACCAGAGCAGCCACCAGGGGGACGACCCAGTCGGGCTTAAGGTTCTCAAGGACATCAGGGGGCATAACGGTGGCCGTCATCCGGCTAGCAGCTATTTTACCATCAGTGGGATTTCTTCCAACAAACAGCCAACGATCAGTGCAACATACCAATAGGAGCAATCACATTAGCAAGGATGTTGTACTTGAAACCCTCCTTGGCCAACGTCTCCGTGAAGCCGACCTGACCAAGTTTGGCAGCTAACAACACCAATTAGCTCAACTCCTCGATCTGCTATTTCTCCCATCCCAGAAAAACCTACCCGAGTAATTCGCCTGACCAAAGCTACCGAACAACCCAGCCGAAGAAGCAGTGTTAATGATGCGGCCGTACTTCTGCTTACGGAAATGAGGCCACGCAGCTTTTGCGCACTATTCAAGTCAAACCCACAAAGTTTAGCATCAATATCTTGCACCCCAACCCAACATTCTATTTCTCCGTGACAGCAAATCCAAAAAAAAACCCACCTTGTAAGCACCATACGTGTGAACCTTGTAGATGAGATCCCAATCCTGATCCTTCATGTTCTTGAAACTGATATCGCGGAGGATGCCGGCGTTGTTGAGGAGCACATCGACTCGGCCGAAGTTCTTGATGGCGGTCTCGATGATGGCCTCGCCGTTCTCGACGCTGTCGTAGTTCGCTACAGCCTTGCCGCCAGCAGCTCGGATCTCGTCAACGACCACATCGGCAGCCTGGGTAGCAATTAATTGTCATGTTAGCAGACGTACACAGGAAGAGGTAGTGAGGTGTTGCACGTGGGACGGTTTGTGCTACGCTACCTTAGAAGACTTGCCCTCGCCGGAGTGCGAACCGCCCAGGTCGTTGACAACGACGTTGGCACCTCTCGAAGCGAAGAACAAAGCATACGCCTTGCCCAGGCCGCCGCCGGCTCCGGTAACGACGACGGTCTGGTTATCGAAGCGCAGCTCCGCGGACATTGTGTGTGTGTGTGTGTGTAGTGTGTAGTGTGTAGTGTGTGAGGAAGGAAGAAGAGGGGGAGGGGGAGGAGAAAGGAATGAAGGAATGAGGGAGAACGGTGTTTGTGGGTTGCGGGTGTGGGTTGTGGGAGAAAGAAAGGTGTTAGATTTGCGGGGTCGAGACGGGGGAGGGGAGGAATAAATGTAGAAGTTGTTGGAAGATGGGGATGCGAAGAAGCTTAAGAGGGAGGAAAGGGAAGAAGAAATCTGGGGAGTGTTGGAACTGGAGACGGTCGCAGTGTTCGGCAAGAGCTGGGAAGGGAACCTCGGTATCTTGGATGGTGGAGCTCGGAGGTTGATCTGGGGGTGGCAGATGATGCTTCCTTCACATGCCGGACACCCCGTCAATGAGATAATCGGGCATGTCGGAGTGTGTACTAAACTTGGTTGCGACTTGCTTTTGGATGTGTTGGTTCATGGGTATACGTTGGATTTATTGTGTTTTTCTCGACGTTGAAAGTGCACCCATATCATGAGAGCTGAGAGGTGATCGACTTTCCTCCTTCCCACATCCATCCACCGGCCATTTTCCCGGCTCCATCGCTCCTCGATGAGGCTATTCCTCATCGGGTAGACTGGGTCTTGCATTCTTGGATGGGAGGTCTTGCTGACTCAGATCGGACCATGTGATCTCTTCATGCATTTCAAATTGTCCTCAATATTCTAGCACGTGGCTTATGCAGTGTCGGGGTGGTCCGGGGGATAAACAAGATTCATGAACAGAGAGAGGATGTGCCTATTACTACATGGTTGACCCGATGTTAAGCTGCATCTTATATTGAAATCTGAAGGTGAACAAATGTTTCGAGAGAAAAAAAATGTAGCCGTCCATGATACACCTCCCCATATATATAGTTAGTTGCCAACCACGGTGAGCATCAAAAATGACAGAAGTCGACCCTCGCGATTAACAAAAGATTTTTGTATTTCTCTAGAAAAGAGTAGAAACGCTGCTATGTCCAGTTCAAGCCGAAACTGGACGAGAAACACGAACCAACCCATGGTGGCCGGATGGCCGTTCTCCTGGGCTCACAGAGAAGACATCGAGGCTTTCACTGGGAAAACCAGAGATACACAATCGCGGGACACGATCAGATCCTAGACTGCCTTCTGACTGGGACTATAGATGGGATGGGGCAGGTCAAAAGTCAGGTGTGGTGAAGGGCTGTGACCGTAAAGCATGCGATAGTTACCACTGCCCGGCTTGGTCATGTAATGGTCGCCAGTGCAGACTTGAGATAACATGTCGAGCATTACAGCTAGATGACTCTCTAACCCCAAAGCGAATGCCTAGTGAGATCATTCTAATCCAGGGATATGTCTTGAGCAGATCCACGAAACGAAAGACTACAAAAAAACAAAAGTGAGACTTTGTGACCGTGAGTTCTTGCGGAAGCCGGCAGCCAGCAGGCTGGTATGGTGAGAATACCCGACCAAGTACGGATATCAATTGCTGCAAGACCGGTCCAAAAGCACGAAGTCGAGGACTATGCGCGCGGTCTACACAGCAAAAAGCTACACACGAATACGCAGGAGAGAGATTACAAAGCCAGGGAAGATGGAATTAGAGTTGTCTGAACTTTTTGGATTTCTAAACTGCTACGAAGACATATTTAAAAATCCCGGACCGAAACAACCCAGTACGACCAGCAAGTGGATGAAAACATCTTAGTTCATCTGGCGGATGAGAGCGTTGATGTTCTCCTCACGGTTACCGTAGTCACCACCCTCGATGAAGTGCTTGAACTTGCGGGTGTGGAAGCCACCGGTGGGGTTGGAGAGCTTGAAGGGCCAGAGGAAGTTGTTGGCCTGCTTGAAGTTGGGGCCGACGGTGTAGATCTCGTGGATCAGATCCTCCATACAGACGATGCCGTACTTGCCGAGGTGCTCCTCGATGATCTGGTTGTCGGTAAGGGCGACACGCTCCTTGTTGACCTTTCCGTAACCGCGCTTGTAGACGAGCTCACGGACGGACTTGAGGTTGGGGTAACCGTAGGCAATGTAGGGGTTGATGATGGTCAACATCTCCTGGGTGGCCTTGGTGAGGCGGACGAAGGTACCGTTGTTGATCTGGAGCAGACGGAGGAGCTGCAAGATCTTACGGGGCTGAGGAGAGATCTTGTTGATACTGCAGACAACGTTAACATCACACATCAAAACAAAAGAACAGAAGAAAGAACATACCCCTTGATACGGATAACGAAGACAAGCTTGGGCTCCTCAGGAACGTAGAAGTTACCCTCCTGGCGGGCAACGCGGCCAAGGCGGATCTTCTCGCGCTCAGCATCGCGGTACTCCTTGACGTAGGACTCGGCGCGCTTGAAGATAACGGCACGCTTCTCCTTGTTGGCCTGCAGTGAATCCGGTTAGCGAGCGAGTTCACCCGAAGACTCATGCAATGCAAAAGATGGGAAGCATCATTATCAGCCCCGAAAGATGGTTAACAGAAGCGATAGCATCGACCGTAGTCTAATCGCGTGGTAGGTAGGTTGTCATCACCGTAGATGCACGAAAGAAAAAAGAAGACAAATACAAACACAAACAAGGACAAGCAGAGACACTAACCTCCTTCTTCTTCTGGGCCTCCTCGCGGGCAACAGCGCGAGCCTGCTCCTGGCTCTTGCGCTTCTTGAGGAGGGTCTCGGGGACGAGGACCTGGTCCTGGGTGGGGACAGTGCTGCGGAAGAGTCAGAATCGTCTTCTGCGGTGAAGCAAGTAGACTTTCGCCGAGTGTAAGAACTGCAGCTACAACGCCACATTCTCGTACTGAAGGCAATGGATGAAAGCACTCGACGACATAGCTTCGATCGGTGAAGGGTGGTATTCATTTGCCTGTGAGTAGGTGGTGAGATGCTACTCAGTATGCATGTCTCAGCGATACCTTTCGCACCCGCCACGAACCAGGTCAAATAGAAAAACCAGCTTTCCTCATCCGACAAGACCCTAAGCATAACGCTCAGGAAGATTCGTTGTAGCATTACGTCTCTCTCATTCCCTGTCCAACAGGGAACCCTGAGAATGACAATAGCTCACAACAATATTTTTCGAGGAGAAGGCAAGATCAAGAATTGCTTTCAACCCCAATACCCCACGGACCTCTCCCATCATATCGCACCATGCTCCCATCCCTCCCAATGTTATCATTTCTGAGTCCACAAGGAGCGAGGCAGAGTAAGGGCAGCACGAGAGGGAGGAAGGATCCGGCGCGGGAAAAATCGAGCTGGTGGTTGCCCAGCGAAAAAAAAAACCGTGTTCCAGGCTAAAATTTCGCAGTGATATCTCCAGCGAGAGAAATATGGACGACTGTAACTGAAATCCTCACAAGCCTCATAGCGAAATGGCGCCTGGGAGAAAATCAATGAACAGGGTGTGTCTCACGTAGCAGTGGAGGCCATTGTGACGGTCCGATGAGTTCGCGAGTTGGGCGAGTTGGGCGAGTGCTGTCGTACTGGGAAGAAGATCAAGAAAAGAAAGAGGAAGAAATCCCGGCCGCGCTTCAAGAAAAATGGGTTGTGGGTGGGCCTGAAGGCGCTAGTCCCGGGCGGGCTAGCTGCATGAGCCAAATAGCCCTACCGTCCTGGGTAAAGCGTAGCCCTTATCTGCATTCCGGGGCTTCTCACCATCAGGTGATCTGAGTTGATAAGACGCCCGGTCCCGCTGCTGCCTCAGGCTTTGGAGTCAGTAGTCTTGGCCTCGGGGCATATGACACCATGCCCTTCCCCACGTTCATTCACTCTCCCAATCCCACCTCCAACCTCCAGCATCTACACCACCACGCAGAATGGCCACCCGCCGCGGCGTCGGCCTAGGCGCCTTCGCCAACCGCACGCAAACCAGCCAATCCTACGCGACGCACGGGGCGAACCTCCGCTCCGCGCACCTGGCCTCCCTGCAGACGCAACTCTCCGTCTTCCAGTCCCTACTCCACACCTTCGCTGTCGAACACGGCTCGAAGATCAAATCGAACCCGACCTTCCGGGCCGAGTTCGCCCGGATGTGCAACGCGATCGGGGTCGACCCGCTGGCCGGGAGCAACATCAAGGGCGGCAACAAGAACTCCTCCCGCAAAGGCTCCTCCGGCGAGAACGCCAGCTTCTGGACGCAGATCATGGGCGGCGACATGAACGACTTCTACTTCGAGGTGGCGGTGCGGGTGGTGGAGCTCTGCCGCGAGACGCGGAGCGAGAACGGGGGTCTGATCGGGGTGGAGGAGTGCCGCCGGCGAGTCGGCAAGGGCAGGGCGATCGGGAGTGGGTTGGAGGTTACCGAGTAAGAAATGTTCCCTCCTGCTGGGCCGCTATGGTATGGTTGGCTCCGTCGAGACACTCAAAATTAACGAGAATTGTTTTTGTGTAGTGATGATGTCCTCCGCGCCGTCCAGTCTCTGGAGCCGCTGGGCTCGGGCCTGGCCATCATTCGTGTCGGGAGCAAACAATATATCCGGTCGGTCCCCAAGGAACTCAACACGGACCAGGCCACCGTTCTGGAGGTGATCCAGGTCCTGGGTTACGTGAGCATCTCCATGTTGCGGGTCAACTTGAAGTGGGAGAAGGCGCGAGCGCAGACGGTGGTCGATGATCTGCTCGCCGACGGTCTGGTTTGGCTGGATGCCCAAGGCGAAGAGAACGAGTATTGGTCGCCGCAGAATCTGCTAGACGATAGTGGTTGAGCACCGCCACCACCCTAAACTGGCCGTCTGGTAGGACAGCCCTTGATCGTAGACACACACAGTTGTCGCCGCCAGGGTACGGGATACTTCATAGAAAACCGCAGCGAAACCATCCCGGCGTCACGACCCACCAAGAACACGCCGGCAAGGACATCAAGTTCTCACGCGTGGTCAATAAGCCTAGTAGCAAGGTCACATACTCATCCTGCTATCGCAACGATACCTGGGATTAGGACCCTCCATGTACCTACATATCCTTACCGACCAAGGGCCTTCGGACATGACAGCCTAAGCTGTATGACATCAAGTTGAGTTATAGGAACCTACAATATATAGCAGATACAGATACACCAGAAGATCTTATGAGTATCTTCAGCAATTCCTATTTCGCCCTCTGAATCTCATACATCACATTGGAAAGGTTCCATCTCCTGGAATTTTTGTGTACCACCCCCATTCATTCTAAACGTCATATTCATCTCTGCAAAGTCGAAGCAAAAAGAAAAAGGTACGATATGGAGATCCAAAAGGTAGAGGAGGAAAAAGAGGCGTCGAAGATGGGACGACGACAGTCATTCCAGCAAGAGAGAAAAAAGGAATTTGGCTCCATGATGAGAGACGGAGGGATGAAAGCACATGGCATATATCGTACGTTAAGCTTGCGGAGGGAGGGAGGAAGGAGGGGGTTCAGGGAAAGGAGAAGTCAAAGGGATTCCAGAAAATCGAGAAAGAGAAGAAGCTTGAGCATTATAACCATGAGAGAAATAAAACAATCAATTTGCCATTAACAAAACATTTCTTTTATGCCTTGATTGCTCCACCCAATGCACCACCGCTGAACTGCTGACCACCGGGGCGGCGGCCTTGTTGACCACCGGGCAACCGGGGACCGCCACGGGCCTGCCCAGCACCTCGAGGACCGCGGCCACCACGGGCGCCGGCGCCCTGATCGCGCTGGAAGGCGTTGGCCATGCCTTGGGTACGCTGCTCGAGAGTCTTCTCGTTGGCCTCCAGGAGGTTCATCGACTTGTCGGCCAGGGTCACGATCTGGGACTGGAGGCGCGACAGCTCGACGCCCTTGCGGAAGACGATGGCGTCGTTGACCTGGTCCAGGGCGGCCGCCAGCTCCTCGTGGGAGATCATCCGGCTGATGATGGCCTGGATCTTCTTCTCGGGGAGCTCGAACATGGTGGCCAAGGTGGCGAGCGACAGGCTGTCGTAGAAGGGAGCGTAGGTGAAGAGGTAGGTGCGGAGACCCTCCTCCTGGATCTGCTGCGACAGCATCTCCTTGACCTTCTCGGGCTGGGGCATCAAGTCCCAGATCTTGATCGAGTTGAGCATCTCGGCGGCCTTCTTCCAGTCACCAGCGGCAAGGAACTTGGCGCTCATGATGACACCGTCACGGGTGTTCTCGGGAGGACCGGTGAAGACCTGGCGCTCGTTGTAGTCGAGCATGCGGCGGAAGGTCTTGGAGATGACACGACGCTTCATCTCGGGCGAGGAAGAGGTCTGAGCCATGAGAGGGACTTCCAAGAACATGCTCGACGTGAGGTAGATGCACTCGAGGAGTTCGAGGTTGATGTGCATGTGGAAGGGGAGTTGACGCTGGCGCTCCAGACGCTCCTGCTCGGGGGAGACGGTGGAGTAGCGCTGGAGGATGATACCCTGAGCCAGGAGCTCTTTCTGACGGCCGCTGCCGCAGACCTCGGAGAGAGTGGTCTGGGCCTCGTAGATGAGACCGGCACGGAAGGCACAGAGACCGATCTGGACGAGAGTGCGGTTGAAGAGGATCTGGGTGCTGACGTCGAAGTTGGCGATGTTCTCCGTCAAGTGGGACATGAGCATCAGGTCGCGAGAGCGGTAGTACTGGTCGTGAAGGGCGAGGAAGTAGATCTGGCAGAGCATCGCACGGGCGCGGATGATACCGTCGCTGTTCTTGAACAGGTAGTTGCAGAGGGTCTGGACGAGCTCGGTCACATCACCGACGTTGGCACGGGGAGTGATCTTAGTGTCCAACTCGGCGGGGAGAGCCTTCCAAGTGGCCTCCTCCAGGATGGTGACGACCTGGGAGGGCTTGAAGTAGATGTGCTCCAATCTCCGCATAACGACTCTGTTGATGCTGTCCTGTCTGGGGTCGCTCTTCTCGGCGGAAATGAGACCTTCGACGTAGGTCTGAGTGCGGACGAGGTTGGTGTACAGCTGCTTCTCGTCACCCAGGCGATCAATGTATTCCGCGGTGTGGGGGTCGATGTTCTGGAGGGAGCGGGTGAGTTCGTCATCCAAACGCTCAACGTAAGAAACGATGCTGCCGGGGATGTGCAGGGTCTCGCCGGCGGTAACCGTGGGCTGCTTCTCGTCATCCTCCCACTCCTCGGCACCTTCGGTCACGACGTAGTCGCGGTTGTTCTCGAGGACGGACAGAAGAGTAGCGAACTCTTGCTCGGCGAACTTCCACTGGTCCACGGCCATGTAGTTACCGGAAGAAGAGGAGGTGAGGTCGAAGCGGGTGGAGATGAGGGTCAGGTAGATACGGATGCGCTGGTAAGGGCTCTGAGCAACCTCCAGAAGCTTCTCCATGGTGCGGATCTGCTCGAGACGGTCGGTGTTCTTCTTTCCGCGAGACTCGACGATGACGCGGAGGTGCTTGAGGATACTCTCAGGGGTGTACTGGAGGGTCTTACCACCGCGTCCGACAGTGGCAAAGCCATCATCGGCAGCAGCAGCAGTGGCAGCGGGGGCAGCGGCAAGGGGAGCCTCGACGCGCTCGACCTTGGTGAGACGGGGAGCGCTGACGACGGGGCGGGCCTCCTCGTCGGCTCCATCCAGATAACCATCCTTGTTGCTGCGGTACTTCTCGATCTGGGCGGCGTAGTCCTTGTTGTTCTTCTTGATACGCTGCTTGACGGCGTTGAAACCCTTGGAGTTGCTGGCGTTCATCTTCTTGTTCGCCGACTTCTGCTTGGCGACGGTCTCGTTGACGAAATCCTCGAGGTCGGCAACGGCCTTGACGTAGACACGGGGAACGGGGCCAGACTGAGTAATCTTGACGACCTGGCGGTTAAGCTTGTCGAATTCTGTATAGTTTGATCCCAAATTAGCATCCAACTACCGTGATTCCTCCTCCTCCTCGCCGCCCTGTGTCGACGACCCCGGCGGAGTCCTGTGTGGTCCAACGCACCTGTCGAAATGACCGCCCAGTCGTTGATCTTCTCGGCATTCTCGATCAACTTGATGGTACCCTCAAGTTCCTCCAAACGCTTGTCCTTGGCACTCTTGACGACCGTGACCTTCTCCTCGTCCTCGCTCTCTTCGCTGTCCGAGACATTTCTCATGAAACGACTGGCACCGGTCTTGCCGGCGCCCTCATCCTCGGACGAGGACTCCTCCTCAGAGTCCTCTTCCTCCTCGCTGGATTCCTCCTCGGACTGCTCCTCCTCCTCACGATCACTGTAGAGCTCCTCCTCATCGGACGAGCTGGACTCGCTGTCGCTACCGCCACCGTAGAAGAAACGCGACATGTTTGCGGGTTGTGTTGAGTGTTGTCTTTTTCGGACGCTGAAATCAACCGGGAAAAGTCGCGGAGAATCGATGAATTGCCGTCACAAAAAAATATCGACGGGGTGACGCACAGTCGTTCAGGGATGGAAGCGTAAATCCCTCAGAGCCAGTCGATCTGTTTCTTTTGCTTAGGGAGCAAATTCAGTTGTGAGGGTACGGCGGGAGCCGCAGAGGTTGGGCTGCGCGAGCCACACACGAAATTTAAGCGAGGCCACACCTAACCGCATTGGGCAATTAGACAACCACATCCCGCTTCTAGTTTCTAGATTCGACTCCGCCATCTTCAATTTCAATATTGCGGAGAATCGTCAATGCATTTATCAGTATATCCTTATATCCTTAATTCATATCAGAACACTTCTAGATGCCCTCTTGCCATTCGGTTTCTACCCTCCTATACCGCAGTCCATATTCAAATATCCAAGTTACAGCCATGTTTTTCTCTCTTCGGTTGCACAAAAGAACAAAGAGGGTAAAAAGAACAAAGGGAGAATCAGAAGGCAAAACGGAAAACGAAGACAATTCGACGCATCGGCGCATAACAGAGGCATTTCCGTGCAGATTGTGCGAACCATAATCAGGAATGTCAATAAAAAACATAAGTACTATAAAGGAGACATAAATCGAAGTCTTTCCAATACTCCTGGCTATGCCGGAAACCCAGCACACACATGATCAGAGAGTTGACACGAGGAGACATGAAACCTAGGAAGATCGTCACAGACATTGAATCCGTCGATGATCGGCAAAATAAGTACCAACACGCCACCGGAATGCGCTTTACGTTCGACTAGGACCCCGCGCTAGTCACCATAATGACATCGGAGTGTCACGGGAGGCTCCTTCCGTTATATCCCAGGGATTGCAGCGAGCTAAAGATATCGAATGTTGTATGCTGATCAACAAGCAGACTGCATATGGAGCAGGATTGCGTGACGGTACTGTTGTGGCTTGAGAGCGGCCCAAACTTGGGAATACCTGGTGGTGGGAAGACTGGGAAAAAATAACTTGCAGAATCCCACGAAAGGAGGACACGCGAGAACAGGTATCGGACCGTTCTTCTCTCGTGGTAGACGAGCATGTGCTTGCTCGATCGAATTTTAGTCAGCGAGCCTGATGCACCTGCCAGGTGCGACCAAACTGCCAGCGGTCTCATCACCCTCAGTGCCACTGATTTTGGCTCATAAAGCCTTCACCTCCTAGGACACCGTCTTCAAGAGTCCGGATAAAGTCCCGATTTCTTGTGCCACCCGTTCGGCTTCCCCGACGCCTTTGCTGGTTGGCTGAGTTGGCATCGACATACCCATCCGGGGGAGGTGGGTAGTAGGCCGGGCTCGGCTGCAGCCTGATCGGCGCGTTGGGATCGAGATGACTCGCCACGCGCTGGATGGTCGGCGGAATGCCTCCACCCTGGGGGTCCATGGTGGATGCACGCTGTCGGCCGGCCCTCGTAGTTGCCTGGGCGTAGAGGGTCTGTGATGGCGCGTACTGCTGTTGCGGTATCTGCCCTGGGAGAATGTTCATTTGATGACCGTAGGCTGGGGGCTGGTTGGGGTACGGCGGAGGAGCACCTTGCTGATGGCCGGCATACATCCCGTTATAGATCGGTGGCGGTTGGGCATGGGTTGGTGTGTGGAACTGATTCAGTTGCATATTGTATGCATTCTGTGCTGCACTCTGGGCGTGTGCTGCTTGTGCCGCCCGCTGTTTACTGGCGGCCTCCGCTTGCTGCTGCTGCTGGATTCCAGGCGCCACCGTCTTGTTGAGGGACGAATACTTCAGATTCATCGGAGGGACGAATGGCCCAGTGAACTTCTGCTGCGTGATAAAGGGGTGCAACTTAGCCTGTTGTGGGGACCAACGCTCGAGCGGATTGATGGTCAACAACCCTCGTACAAAATCTATGAACGCTATGCGGTTATTGAGTTCTAAAGAGATGTCAGTCCCTGCATTCGGAGAGGATGTTGGCAGACGGCGTACCTCGCTCGATCTCCGCTTGTTTCATGTTCTTCCTGGGCATCGGGTAGCTGCGGATGATTTCCTCAAGGGTCGAAGCCTGGAAGTACTTCTTGCTTGGTTGCTCCTTGGTGTTGTGCTCGCGAGAATACTGCTCCAGGGACTTCAAGCGATACGTCTTCCTGCCGAACTCATCCTGGGTTTTCTCGAAGAACTCGCCCGATTGCTTGCCCATCTCTAGCATCCATGTCGGAGGGAGGCCCAGCATCTCGACGATTCGACAGACTTGGTTGTATTCTGAGGAACCTGGAAAAAGCGGAAGGCCCAGGAACAGTTCCACAACGATACATCCAAGGGACCACATGTCAATCGCAGAAGAGTAGCTAGGGAATTGTTAGTCGTGCCGTCCATCAGGGGGAAGGGTTAGGCGGGAGACGATTGCGGTGGGACGTACGGCAAGCCAAGAAGAACCTCCGGCGAACGGTAGAATCTCGACTGGATGTAGGTGTAGACAGTCTGCCTTTCATCGCATGCTGAGCCGAAATCAATCACTTTTATAATGGGGCTCTCCAGACTGCGAGGCTTAGAGTTAGCTCCAACGATCTTGAGGTGCCTGGGTGAGTAACTCACTTCTTTAGCAAGATATTCTCCGGTTTCAAATCGCAGTGGATCAGATGCGCCTTGTTGAGCAGACTCAGAGCATTAAGCAACTGCTGGGCAAATACGCGCACCAAGGTCGTGCTAAGACCTCGGAACTGGTTCTGCTTGATCAACTCGTAGAGGTTGACACTGAGCAACTCGAACACAAGACAAAGGTGTTGCCTGTGAATGAAAGTGTCCTTCAAGCGGAGTAGGTGATGATCATCGTTCTTGTCGTACCTGCTATTGAGCTGTGCCCGGAATTAGTGAGGTGCCCATGCAATCAGAAAAACCTGAGCTTACCAGATCCAAGACCGATACTTCCATCATGCTCTGGTTGAAATAGGCTGTCTTGTTCTTGATGACCTTCACGGCCACGACCTCTCCCGTTTTCAGATTCTGGCACTTCACAACTTGCCCGAAGGTTCCCTGACCCAGTACGTCAAGAATAAGGTAGCGATTCCTGATACTGTTAGCGAAGATGCCCAAATAATATGCAGAGACCGTCCCGCAGGCTACTCACTTGTGACCTGCTTCCTCACTACCCAAGATGTCATTAACATAGAGAATATAGTCGCTATCCTCATTGTCGTAGCCATCATTCTTCACGCCTTTACTGGGCTTCGTCAAAACGCGCCTTGGGTTTCTCGAAGACTCGTAGTTGAATCCCGGATTGCATATGCGATAAGTGGCGGGAAGATGCGTTGTCAACGCCTGAAGGGGCTGTGTAGAAGTGTCAGAGCAAATCCACGCATGTGCCGTGGGGTACCAGAACATACGCTAATAAAGCCACCTTCGGGGTTGGCACGTCTGAATGGCGGTTGTGCATTCAGATGCGGTTGCAGATCCGACACTGACTTGATCTTCTGGAATTTGGGAATGGGCCCTCGACCGGGCAAGTGGCTGCCACCTGAGATAGACGCAGAACGAGGGGATCGCCCGTCTTGCGCGAAGGCTGCGCTGAGCTGAGAGCCCGCAGAGGGCGGATAGAACTGATCGGGGCTCATATCGGTAGGCTGCAGAGGAGGGAGTCGAGGCGGTCGCGAACCGGCTGCCAAACAAGCAAAGAAGCGGTTAGCGAGGATGAACTTTGAGCAACCATGAGGGTAGTGGATATCACTCACAAGGCGGCGACTGAAACGATTGGGGAGGTGAGGCGTAATTCGGCGCCCTGGTCGGCGAGCGTCGCGACTGATTCGGGCCGGGCGGGAATGCGTACGAGTTTTGTTTCCCGGGACTGGCATTATAGGAAGACATGGGCGACGACAAGACGTTCCCGGGAGAGTATCTGCGAGCGGCCGAAGACTCTTCATGGGAGAAGTACTGAGAGGACGGCCGGCTGTGGTGGGCAGGCCGTGCAGTGTACTTGGCCCGGTTATACGGATCGGCGTCCTCCATGGTGGTATCCGCATCGGTGACATAATCTCGACTACGTGGCGTAGCAGCGGGAGACGAGGCCATCGAGACGGTCTTGGAGTTCGTGACGGTCGACGAAGGTTTCCCAGCGCCGGCAGGGGATTGGAAGGGCTCGTAGGAGTATCCGACCGGGGGCTGCGAGTGCTGTGGCTGGCCGCCGTATTTTGAGGCTAGGTGCTGTTGTGGATTCGACGTCAGGCCGTTGTTGAACTGCGCCGAATGGCCCAGTAAGGGATCCTGGTAAGACTGCCACTGGGAATCCATGATTACTCTTCACGCTGGTCTAGCGACACCACTTCTGTAGCAAAGATAGATCAAATCGGGAATTTGATGATCATCTATCTCTGTCGACAGCGCACATGCACCACGATCGGAGCGTTAGATAGCAGGCGGGGACGGCCGACGCACGTAGCGCAATCAGGCGGAGACGACGCGGCACACCAGCAAGTCAAGTAGGTATGGTATATAACTTAGGTCTCCAAACGAGGCAAATGAAGGAATTGAGGGTGTGGATCTAGGCAGCGCTGGAGGTCATGTTCCGAATGACCGGTTATGTTGTTGAGTTGGTTGGTGGAGGAAGACAAGAGCGACGAGGTGTGTCCGTACGGAGGTTGGGCGGTCGCAATACACAATGACGGACGGGGGGGGGAGGAGTGGGTGCGACGCAGCAACCAGTAAGTTATCGATGCGGCAGCTGACACACGCGAAGGGGGTTGGGGGAGAAGAGATGGGGAAGAAGGGACTGACTGGAAGTCCCGGTTAGGACAGGAATCCAGGCAGAAATGCGCACAGTCTCAAAATGACTGTGAGGGAACTGGAAATAAATCCAGCTGGAGAGGATTGTGAAGGAGGGGAAGAGAGAGAAGAAGAGGGAAGGAGAGAAGAGTAGGGAAAGAGGAGGAGTTCGGGAAGGTTGGCTGTGGTGGAGGTGGAGGGAGATACTGGGCTG